AAGCAGACCCCCCGCCGAGCAGGGAGCCCGATGTGGGACTCGATCCCGGGACTCCAGGATCATGACCCAAGCCAAAGGCAGTCGCCCAACCAACTGAGCCACCCAGGCGCCCCTGACAGGCTTATTATTATTTTTTTTATTTTTATTTTTTTTACTTTTGAGACATTGTCTACTAAATATCCATCCCAGAATAACCTGTTTGCTAGTCATTCTTTTAAGGAGAAATGGTGTTTTATGGAAGAAAATTTTTAAAAAATGGCTAGTTCAGCTTGTAACTCAGTGACACCAGAGCTTTTTCTCTGGAAAACCAAAGCCGAAATGCTTTATGCATGTTTCCTGTTTTGCCACACAGAATATTAAAAAGATGTGTGTTCAAGGGTTGATGTTTAAAGCAATTAATAATTTTTCACTGCTTCACGGAGGGCATTCTCAAGTGCAACTAGCTTTTTTTTTTTTTTTTTTACCTGCATGTACTTAAAGGGGAAGACTATAGTCTTGTTATCATGTGGTGTCACAGCCTTGATTCATACTGAGGTGCCAGCAGTTTTCCTCACACAGTATAAATGGAAAACAATATTTTAATGTTATCAAAGAAGTAGTTCCAGTCTCACAGAGCCCTGAAAAAGTCTAGAGGAGCCCCAGTGGCCTGTGGACCACATTTTAAGAACCACTCAGGTAATTACACACTAGCAGGCAAACAATCCAGACCCCTACTAGAAGTCAACAGCAGGGTCCTGATTTAGAAGCAAGCCTACAAAAGCTTACTGACAGCAGGGCAGAAGCAGACATATCAGCCCCCAAGGTAGGTGACACAAATTCAGTCTGCAAAGGTAGGCCCTCATCAGCTTCAGAAAAGTTCTGTTCTTGCTGGGCCATGAGCCTCGTAGACTCAGGCTTGCCATTCCGGAAGAACTGAGACCTAAAAACTCTCTTTGCTTGCATTTAAGGGGATGTTTATTAACATCAGACCTTCCTGATTCTGGAAACAAACCCTGTAAATCCACATCTTCCTGAGGGCTAGAGAGGAGAATGAGAATCTAGTGCCAGCAAACAATGCACCCCTCCCTATCTCCTGCAGTCCACTCCTTCTTAATATCCAGGAAATTTTGAAACTGATTTCCGTGTGAGGACTGTGAGCATGGATTTGTTTTCCCACCACTGACATCCCGAGGAGAGGAGAAGGGAAGGATGACATATCTCCCCCAGGTACCACTGTTGGAAGAGGGGATTTATGCTGGGGTGTGGAGTCTGTGGACATCCTGGGAAGCAGACTCACGGTACGCACACATCCACAGCACTGATAGGAGGCTTGAAAGGGTTTGGGGCTTAACCACCAGAGCACGGGCTGAGACAAAGCTCTGTGAGACTGAGTATGGCAGGAGGTAATGAGAAGAATGCACTGCTTGAAGGAGGGGGTAGGACCTGGCCTGGCACTGGTTAACTCCAGGGGGCCCGAAGATGGGGATCTGGGGTACAGCAAGCAG